TCGAGGCCCAGAATACTACAGCTCAAGAAACAAATGGTTTCAATAAAGCTTGAGCATGATGAAACAATGATGTCGTATCTAGGAAGAATAAAGACATGCAGCGACAGTCTTAAAGAAGCAGGTCATGAAATCAGAGATGACGATTTAGCATATGCAATGCTATGTGGATTACCAGATAGGTATGAAGGAATTATCATGGCATTGGCGAACCTTGATGACGAAAAGTTTAAGTCGTCAGAAATAAAAGGGATATTGTTGAACGAGTACGACAGGAGAGCAGCGAAGGAGATCAGTAACCTCGAAGAAAGAAAAGAAGCGCACCATCAAACCAGAGCAGTGTCTCATCAAACCAGAGAAGCGTATCATCAACCAAAGGAATATAGGAAGGATGAAAGGAAATGTTTCAAGTGCGGTAAACAGGGACACCTTGCACAGTATTGTAAAACAAGGACACAAAGTGCAATAACAAAGTGGAAACAGGGTACGTCTAATGATAAGCAGTATAAGCAGAAAGATATGTTTTTATCGGAACTAAACAATGTTCAATTAGATGATTCTTGGTTGATGGATAGTGGTGCGACTCATCACATATGTAAACATAGGGATTGGTTTGTGAATTATAAATCTATAGCGAATGAAACAATTTACTCAGCTGATAACAGGGCGCAAGATAATTTAAAAGCAATAGTAATCGGTGATATTAATATAGAGACTTACGTAAACAATAATACTTTTGATATAACTTTGAGCAATGTGTACCATGTTCCTAATGTAAGGAGAAACTTATTATCAGTTTCACAAATAGAGAATAAGCAGAAACGATTAATAATAGATAATCATAGATTAAGTATCCTAAATAAGAGAAATAAGACGATAGTGGGGGAAGCATTTTGTAAAAATGGGTTATATATCGTTAGAGCTAGTGTAACTAAAGGCAGATCAGATCGAATGGAAACACATATTGTCAAAAACGATAAGTTAAATGATAGTGAGAAATGACATCAACGATTTTGCCATATAAGTACAAGAAATATTCAAGAGATATCAAGTAAGAGTTTAGTTAGAGGCTTGGAAAATTAAAATATAAAGGATATTCATTGTAATGGATGTAGCATAGGTAAATCTGTGAAAGCTCCATGTAAGAGCATGGGAGGTAGACAAACAAAAGCCGTATTGGATTTAATTCATTCAGACTTATGTGGGCTGTTACCAGTAAAATCAATGGGGGGTTTAAAATATTTTCTTACTCTCACTGATGACTATTCGAGGAAAACAACAATATATTGTTTAAAAGGTAAAGACGAAGTATCCAGATTCGTACAAAAATATATAGCTAGAGTAGAAAGAGAACTGAATAGAAAAATAAAAAGAATAAGGACTGACAACGGATTAGAATTTTGTAACAAGGAATTAGCAACATTATTTGATAAATTAGGTATAAGACATGAGCGTACAAATGCATATACACCGCAAATGAACGGTGTAGCCGAAAGGGTTAACCGAACCCTAATGAACTTAGTGCGTGCGATGCTAAAGACAGCAAAATTACCTGAAAGGTTTTGGGCAGAGGCGTTGCTTGCTGCATGTTATACCAAAAATAGAGTCAAGCATTCGGCAATCGACGACAATGTTCCGGAAGGGATTTGGACTGGAAACAGACCAAGCGTGAAACATTTAAAAACGTATGGATGTTTGGCGTATGTGCATCTCTCGGGATACGATAAACATAAGCTCAATCCAAGAGCGAAAGAATGTATATTTGTAGGGTATTCGACACAAACAAAGGGATATAGGCTATTTGATCCTTCGAAAGACGACATTATACATAGTAAACACGTAGATTTTGTCGAAGAATTATGTGGATTTCAATACATTTATGGAGAAGAAACATATGAAATACCATCTGACAATGAAAATAGAGCTAGTGATGTAACAGATGAGATAGAAATTAAGAAGGAAGAAGTGAAGCTGGATGAATCAACAGGTAATGTACCCGTAGAAAATGTACCGTTATTAGAAAAGGATACAGTAGAAACGAATGTGAATAGCGATGTTAGCAGTTCGCAAGAAATACGAGAAAGAGAAATTGTTAATAGCAAACCACGACGCGGAAAGGTTATTAGAAATCCATGGGGTTGTAAAGGTAAACCTAAAGATATTGAAATAAACCTAACAGAGATAATCGAACCTACAACGTTTGAGCAAGCGATGTCATTACCTCAATCTGAACAATGGAAAACAGCAATGGATGATGAATTACAGAGCTTGGAAAGTAGAAATACGTGGGAGGTTGTAAATAGAGTCGAACATATGTCATGCATCGGCAGTAAATGGGTTTACAAAGTCAAGACGGATCCCACTGGGAAAGTTGTTAGGTACAAAGCGAGATTAGTAGCACAGGGGTATGGTCAAAAGAAAAATGTAGATTATTTTGAATCATATGCTCCAGTTGCCAACATGTCAACTATTAGACTGCTATTGGCGATGTCAGTGTGTGAAGGTTGGGAGGCACATCATTTGGATGTTAAATGTGCATATTTGTATGGAGAACTAACTGAGGAAATATACATGGAGTTACCACCAGGATATAGCGAAGCAGATACAAAGGTAGCAAAATTGAAAAGACCGATTTACGGGTTGAAACAATCAGGTCGGAATTGGAATGATGCAATTGATATGTTCCTAGTTAAAAACGGATTCCAAAGATTAAAAGGCAATAACTGCGTCTACGTATATGATCGTGATCTCATTTTAACTATTTACGTCGATGATATAGTATTATTTAGCAAAAATGTAGATAAAATAAAACGAGTTAAAGTGTTATTAACATCACAATACGAAATAAGGGATTTGGGAATAGCGTCTTACTTACTAGGGATAAGCATTAAATATATTAATCAAACTATGAAACTGTCACAAGAATTATATATACAGAAATTATTAGATGAATACAATATGATGGAATGTAAAACCACAAAAACACCAATCGAGGCAGGTATAAAGTTATCGAAGCAGGATAGCCCTTCAAATGAAGTTGAAAGAGAAGAGATGAAAAATATACCATATAGACGGCTGGTAGGATCACTAATGTACATAGCGTTGGCGACTCGACCAGATATAATGTATGCGACATCGAAGTTGGCACAATTTGTATCAGATCCCGGTAAAATGCACTGGATGCAAGCAAAAAGAGTATTAAGATATTTATCCACTACAAAAGAGAGATGTATGGTATATAGTCAAGGAGATAGTGAAATAGAAATATTTAGCGATGCGGACTGGGCAGCCGACATTGACGATAGGCATTTCTATAGCGGAATGATAACTTATTTAGGGGGAAATCCAATCTCTTGGAAGTCAAATAAACAGAGATGGAGGCGGAATATATAGCGTTGGAATGTGCTGTGAAAGAAGCGATTTGGATAAATATGATGTACAAAGAGTTACAGCGACTGATTAGCATTAATGTACCGCGTGAACCATATATTATCAGATGTGATAATAGATCAGCTATCGACTTCACATTGAATAGAGTAGAGCGATCGAAGTCGAAACATATAGACATTGCGTATCACATTACTAGGGAAAAGTGTGAAGAGGGATTGATAAAGCTGAGGTATGTATCTTCTGGCGATAATGTGGCGGATATATTCACCAAAGCGTTACCACACAGTGTAATGACTGTTCATGTAAAGAGATTGCGAATGTTTATGAAATAGATTGTATGCGAGGAATAGATGTGTGCCAAAAGTGGGGGATTGATGGAAGTTTGACACACACCCGTAGCGTGCGCCTGTGGGTATGCGCAGAGGAACATGCGCGAGAGAGAACGCGCGCATGAGCGTTGTGTTGCTTTGTCATCACGTTTTGTGTCGTTGTGTGTTGTCGCGTGTACCATGTATCAATTCTGTATCATTAATCATTATTAAACATTTATATATATATGTTCCAACAATCCAACATTTATTACCTGCAATAACATCGAAAGCCAGTGCCAGATGTTTTATGGCGAGCCAGGTATGGCCAGAAACATCTGGGCCCCAAGCGCTGACCTGGGCCCGTCACCGCCTCGCGGAAAAACCCAGACGAGTGAATTATTATTAAAAAGAACAGTTACATGCCGCCTCCCACCGATCAACTTCGTCTGCCAACTGATTGGCCAGTATTGTTACACTATTTCACCAATCTTAGACCGATGCTGCCTCCCATGGCCTTGGGTACGCCCATGGCGAGGTTAGCTGCTTGGGCAACCTTGGCCCAGAGACCAGATCAGACTTAACACTAGACCACACAAGACTGTAAACATTTTCGGCTATCCGACTTAGGAGAAATAATTATTACTTGTTACCAATTTCACTGGTTGTTATTGAAGTTTACCTTCCGTATCCCAAAAACAATTCACTCGTCATTAACGTTGACGTGTGAAGTTGAGTATACTAGAAAGTGTCTTTCAACAAATCATATTATTTTGCTCAACCCCTCAACATGGTCCTTCGAGCCGGATACGGAACCGTATAAACAAACTCTAATAGAAGCAAGTGTGAAATAAACCAGTACCAGTGACAAGCAGACAGTTATTATACATTCCAAGGCTATTGTACGGGCGTCCCATTTGGAAAGCAGCCGTTGGATAAGCCAACTATCAATATCTTGGTGGATATCTCGTTTGGAAGACCACCGTTGGACAAGCCGAAAATCATCATCGTTTGGTGGACATCCCGTTTGGAAACCCACCGTCGGACAGGCTGAGATTCCATATCTTTGGTGGACATCCCGTTTGGAATACCACCGTTGGACAAGCCGAAATCCACCGTCGTTGGTGAACATCCCGTTTGGAGAAGCATCATCAGACGAACAAGGATCTCTAGCAGAACTTCAAGAACAAACAATCAAGTAAGAATCTCAGAGAATCTCCTGTCAATCCCTTTAAACGATCCTTCCAAGTCTTCTATAATTTATCAATTCAATTCTCGTACGTAATAACCAATTAACGGAGAAAAATGGCTGCCTCTGCACAGCTCAAAACATTAAATCGAAATCGTGCTATTATTAAAAGCAATGTGACGCGATTAATCGGGTATCTTAATACAAACGTCGATGTAGATATCGATGACGTTCAAACGCGTAAAGCCAAGCTAGAAGAATGTTACCAATCCTTTTCGAAGATTCAAATAGAAATAGAGATTCTAGCCGAGGAAGCCCAACTGGAATTAGATCACGAGTCAGAAAGATCTCAGTTTGATGATCAGTATTTCAAATGTGCCAAAGTTATTAATCAACGTTTTCGCGAGCTCAAACCCACTCAAACAATTGCAGAACCTGGCAATTTAACTTCACAATCCGGTGCTAGCAGTGGTTCTAATATTACCATAAGTCAAGGCAATTCATTATTGCCAAAAATTGAAATTCGTCCATTTGACGGTAATCCCATACAATGGTATAGCTTTCATGACACGTTTCAGTCGTTAGTACACAATGACAATAACATCCCGGCAGTACAGAAATTTTATTTGTTGAAAAATTCCTTAGTCGGGAGTGTAGCTACAATTATTGACCAGTTAACAGCATCCGAAGAAAATTACCACGTAGCTTGGGATTTATTAAAACAGCGTTGTGATAGGCCGCGTCAGATTATTCAAACCCATATAAAGGCGATTCTGGAGTTGCCAGAAATCACGAAAGAATCACCAAGCAATATACGATCATTAAAGGAGTCTGCACTAATGCATGTCAATGCTTTAAAGGCTTTGAAAGAACCCATAGACGCGTGGAATTCAATACTAACATACATCATTGTTCGCAAACTAGACAAAAATACGCGACGAACGTGGGAACGCACATTAGACAATACGCAAATGCCAAAATTCACGGAATTGATAGACTTCTTAAATAAACAAGAGCGAGGAGATGAAACTGAAACAAGCAATAGTATGATAGGGAATCAAAATCACATAAGAGTTCAATCATTTATAGGAACAGAAAGGCGAAATGAATGTTATTTTTGTAGTGGTAACCACAACATTTACTCATGCGAGAACCTTTTAAAATTAACTCCGCGTGAACGATCAAATGCAGCTAAAAACAAACGATTATGTCTTAACTGCCTACGCAATAATCACCTTACTAATAAATGCATTGCCTCCACTTGCAAAAAGTGCCATCGGAAACATAATACATTATTACACTTCGTCGACGATCACCATTCAATTAGGGTAGATACAGGTAGTAAAGACAATTCAAACTCGTCTACCTCTACAGATCCGGTAAAACAGGGGTATACTGTAACGTACAATTCCGAAGTTTTATTAGGGACAGCGCGGATTAAGATTTTAGATAAAAACAATAAGGAACATGAATGCAGAGTACTATTAGATGGATGTTCTCAATGCCATTTCATTTCTGATAAGTTAGCAAAGAAACTTCAATTAAAAGAAGAGAAGATTGATCTGCCATTTGCAGGTTTAGGCCAACTTACAATGCGTGCAGAATATCGAGTTAAGGCAACAATTAAATCAAAAATCAATAATTTTCAATCGGAAGTAGAATTCGTAGCGCTTCCAAAAATCACAAGTTTATTACCATCGCGTCGTGTCCATCGCAAAGAGCTTCCAATTCCGCATAACATCAAACTGGCTGATCCAGAATTCGATAAACCAGCGGAAATCGATGCTTTGATCGGAACCACATTATTTTACAAGCTATTAAACATCGGTCAAATTAAACTATCAGGTGCATCGGACGTCATGTTACAAAAAACAATGTTAGGCTGGATAGTAGTGGGCGAAGTTCACAAAGCTAACAACAAAGCAGGCAGTAAATCTTGTTACTTAATCAAATCATTAGATAATCAATTGACTCGATTTTGGGAAGTAGAAGAAGTTCCGCATAAAAAACATTGTTCACTAGAAGAAACGAAATGCGAAACATTATACGTGGAAACTACAAAACGCGATCACGACGGGAGGTACATTGTACAATTGCCATTCAATGATAAAAGGAACAATATTGGCGAATCCTATAGCATAGCGTTGAAACGGTTTTATTCAATCGAAAGAAAATTAGCACGGGACAAGGTATTGCAACAATATTATAGTAATTTCTTAAAGGAATATCGCGATTTAGGACACATGCGTGACATTACCCAGTCGGATAATAAACAAGAGGGTTACTATATACCTCATCACGCGGTTATCAAAGAAGATAGCTTATCAACGAAAGTTAGGGTAGTTTTCGACGCTTCAGCTAAAAGTACGACAAACATTTCATTAAACGATGCATTGATGGTCGGCCCTCCCATTCAAGGAGACCTAATATTTATTATAATGCGATTTCGATTACACAATGTCGTACTTGCCGCTGATTTGCAAAAAATGTATAGACAAGTTAAGGTAATAGACTCGGACACATCATATCAAAAAATTTTATGGCGAGAATGCGAAAATGAAACAATCCGCGTCTTTAAATTAAATACGGTGACTCAAGGTACAGCTTCGGCGCCGTTTCTTGCATCGAGAACGTTGCATCAATTAGCGGATGATGAAGGTCATAAATTTCCATTAGCTGCAATAAGTTTGAAAAATGATTTTTATGTTGATGATTTGCTATCAGGAGCAAATACCATTCAGGAAGCATTAGAATTGAAACGTCAAGTAACTCAAATACTAAGGCTAGGGGGATTCGCACTTCATAAATGGGCTTCAAATAAATCGGAAGTAATTGCAAGGTCAAACATTGATGAAGCACAGTCAATTTGTTTAAATACAGAGGCTAGAAAACTATTAGGCATTCATTGGGATTCAATCGGGGATTCAATAACTTATTCCGTAAAGCCGTTTGCTGCTGAAAACCATTCAACCAAACGTACAATACTGTCCCAAATCGCTCAGTTGTTCGATCCGCTAGGTTTACTAGGGCCAGTAATTACGCTGGCAAAACTTATAATGCAAGGATTATGGAAAGCAAAGGTAGAATGGGATGAATCGTTGCCTCAGGAAATGCACACCAAATGGACCGAGTTCAAGAAAGAGTTACCACTACTCAGTCAGTTTAAAGTATCCAGACAAGTTATACTAGCTAATGCACACGATATCCAGTTACACGGATTTTGCGATGCAAGTGAGACTGCGTATGGTGCATGTGTTTATTTGCGATCATCTAACAAGGAAAACAATACTTTAGTACAATTAATATGCGCAAAGTCACGCGTTGCGCCAATTAAAACTATGACAATACCTAGGCTCGAATTATGTGCAGCGCAATTATTAGCTAGATTAATTGATACGGTGTCAAGGTCGTTAAATCTAAAATATAGCAAAATTCAACTGTGGTCTGATTCAACTATAGTATTGCATTGGATTCAAACATCTCCTCATTGTTTAAAAACGTTTGTTGCTAATAGAGTTGCGGAAATTCAATCACTAACGAATATAAATAATTGGTTCCACATTGGAACCGAAGACAATCCCGCCGATTACATCTCTCGTGGTCAAGCTCCTTCTGAGTTTATAAACAATACACATTGGCAACATGGGCCCTCCTGGCTAGTTCAGAGCGAAAACAATTGGAAATTCAAGCACCTTGTAACAATGATTGTTCCCGAGCAAAGGATCAAAACAGCGCTAGTCATTACGGGTAGAGTTGCCAAAGATAATTCAGTAGAACAAAATACAAAAAATGATACATTTGACAGATTCTCTTCAATTAATGCCTTAATTCATTTTGTAGCATTCTGTCATAGAGCGGTTTCAAATCGGAAATCAGCGAATAAAAAGATAGGTAAATTCACCATCGAAGATTTAAGGAATGCACGAACTCAAATTATACGGGTGGTTCAACAAACTCACTTTTTGCGCGAAATAAAACATCTACAACAAGGCCTTCAATTAAATGCAAAAAGTAAAATCATATGCCTAAACCCATTTCTTGATACTGATGGTATTATTCGAGTAGGGGGTCGGTTAACAAATGCTCAGATAACATACTCACGAAAGTACCCTATACTCTTACCACCAAATAACCACATTACCAAATTAATTATTCACAACGAGCATATCAAGAATTGGCATGCGGGAGTGCAGGCTACTTTAAACGCGGTCAGAAACACTTTTTGGCCTATTGATGGAAAAAACATAACACGACACGTCATACATAAGTGTGTACGATGTAGCAAGTTAAATCCCAAATTACCTAGTTATACAATGGTTGATTTACCCACACCTCGCGTAATTCAATCACGGCCATTCGATAATGTTGGGCTTGACTATTGTGGCCCATTTTCCCTGAAGGAAAAGAAATTTAGAAATAAGAACAAGATAAAATCGTATGTTGCCGTATTTGTTTGTTTTGTGACAAGAGCTGTCCATTTTGAGCTTGTCACAGATTTAACCACTGAAGCGTGTCTGGAAGCTATTAAACGATTTTGCGCTCGACGAGGAAAACCAAAAAATGTATATTCAGACAACGCAACTAACTTCATTGGCGCTAAAAATGAAATATTAAAGGTCAGGGCATTTTTTATATCAAACGAGAATAACACTAAGTTATCCAACTATTTTCAAGAGGAGGGAATTAATTGGCACTTCATTCCTCCCCGATCCCCACATTTCGGCGGGTTGTGGGAGGCAGCTGTTAAATCCTTTAAACATCACCTGTATCGCACAGTAGGAGAAACAATGTTTACGTACGAGCAATTCATTACTTGCATTATTGAAATAGAAGCAATTTTAAATTCCCGTCCTTTGACCCCATTATCCTGTGATCCCAATGACCTTACTGCCCTTACGCCAGCACATTTCCTGATAGGAGGTTCTTTATCGAGTATTCCAGAACTTGACGTTCAGGACGTGCACACCAATAGGCTGTCAATGTGGCAGCGGGTGCAGCAAGTAAAGCAGCACTTTTGGAAACGGTGGCACAAAGAATATTTAAACAAGTTGTGTACCAAAAGTAAATGGCATCAAGGAGATGGTAAACAAATCGAAATTGGTCAGCTAGTAATGATCAAAGAAGACAACCTTCCTCCAATGCAATGGAGCATGGGTCGTATTGTACAAGTTCACCCCGGAACAGACAATATAGTGCGCGTTGCAACAGTGAAAACACAAACCGGACTCTATAAACGTTGTGTTAAAAAACTTGCTCCTTTGCCAATAGAAAGACCACTAGAGACTTAAGTTGATAATTTCATTCACCATAAGTATGTCTAGTATAAGTAGATAAGATATGAGGATGTAGACACCTCGCTATTTGTGGCCACATCGTATAATCAGCAATTAATTTATATTATATTAATATTTAAAAAATTTAGGGCTAGGTACACACACATGTATCAATGTTATCTATTATCAACGAACTCATTATATTCTAATGAAGAAATAATGATCAGTAGGAATGTTAGATATTAGTAATAAGATTCACTATGTTTAATTCACAAGGTGCCCATCAACTATATCAATCTAGCATTTACACATGTAATCATACAATGTATACGAATTTCAATAAGTAATAAGTTTTGAACGGAAGCCGTTCAAGGCGGGCGGCATGTTCCGACGAGAAAAACAATTACAATGTATTCTGTGTTGCAGCGTAACAGTAAACTCATAAAGCCAGCGGATGTAGAGTCAGACCTTTCAAACATTCAAGTTTGCCTATAATCCAGTGCCATTAAGATGGCTATTTAATTATTAAACTCAGTCATATCTGCATGATACTTCAAATCCCGGCGTTCTATGACTTTACTACCTGCAATAACATCGAAAGCCAGTGCCAGGTGTTTTATGGCGAGCCAGGTATGGCCAGAAACATCTGGGCCCCAAGCGCTGACCTGGGCCCGTCACCGCCTCGCGGAAAAACCCAGACGAGTGAATTATTATTAAAAAGAACAGTTACATGCCGCCTCCCACCGATCAACTTCGTCTGCCAACTGATTGGCCAGTATTGTTACACTATTTCACCAATCTTAGACCGATGCTGCCTCCCATGGCCTTGGGTACGCCCATGGCGAGGTTAGCTGCTTGGGCAACCTTGGCCCAGAGACCAGATCAGACTTAACACTAGACCACACAAGACTGTAAACATTTTCGGTTATCCGACTTAGGAGAAATAATTATTACTTGTTACCAATTTCACTGGTTGTTATTGAAGTTTACCTTCCGTATCCCAAAAACAATTCACTCGTCATTAACGTTGACGTGTGAAGTTGAGTATACTAGAAAGTTTCTTTCAACAAATCATATTATTTTGCTCAACCCCTCAACAAGTTCTATGTAACAATTTGAAGAACACCCAAATTAATAAATAGAATAATCAACACAATTGATAAAAAGCAGATTCTACTTGTATAAAATATAATATTTATTATATTTTTAATGCTAGTACCAATGAAATAAATATAAAATAAACAGTTTATAATAGAAAAACAATTTTCGTTTATATATTTTTCGTTTTTGTACTAATAAATCCAGTTTAAACGGATACCTACTGAATACAAAGAATCTACCTAGATCGTATCTTCCATGTAAATCGGGAAAGTAATCTATGTATAATTTAAAGACCCTGAATAGAGAAACGAATAGTTTTTTTTTTAATGTAAAAAAGTCTATTGTAGCGTGAGTGGTTGGATGTTTGGCAAGATTAGGGAAAATCGAGGTCATGCAAAGTCAAACTTTTAGTAGACCGTGCCATTACCAGATTTTATGGCACATGTATTGTTAGTGAAAATATAATGAAACTAAAATCTAGATAATGGACTATGACTTTGAATGGATCCTTTTAGAAGCCAGGCAAAAACTCTTATCAAACGTAATGACTAAACGTGTAACCTTGTACCGAGGCGTTGGAACACTTATGGAACTTTTTCAATAGCCTCCGCCGAAACAGTCGAAATGGAACTTTTTCAATAGGCTCCATTGAAACAGTTAAAAGTGAACTTTTGTACTAAAAATTCTCGTATAAATTCAGATCAGATGAGATAAACAAAATGTCTTAAAAATAAAAGTTTTAAAAAGAATATGATTTTCTAGAAATAAAAAGAATCCTGTACAATTGTAAGAGTTATTGACAACAACAATATTTTTAACTTTTATATTCGTAGCTTGCATATTTTGAATGTTTTAATGGATCTTTTTAACTTTAACAAGTAATTAAATTGATGATTTTATAAATACTAATAAATCAATAAATCTTACAAAATTCTAATACGTTTAAATAAGTTTTAATAAATTTTAATAAATACCAGTAAATTTATATACATATACAACATGTACACACATACTTATATGTATTTATTTATTTATTATTATAGACCTACATACATATTAATATGTATAGTATGGTTTACTGTTATGAATTTATTTTTCAATGCTACTGCTTAGTGTATGATTTTTCTTGACGTGGTATGTATATCTTTCTGTAGGATCTGTGTGTTATTATTATTATTATATTTAATTTGACAAAATTGACACACATTTTGTTTAAATATCTAGGAGTACATGAATGTTTGTTGTTTTAATGCTAAAATAAAGCTTATTTTAAAAATATAAATAAAATAAAATAATTGAAATCGGGAAAAGCCGCTAAACTAGTTTACCCGTGCAGTAGCCTAGTCGCTCCAAGCTTTTCGTCGATTTCGAGTAGTTCCGTTCGTTATGACCCAGTTTGAACTCGTGAAACACAACTATTCGTAAATTACGGTTGTTCGTATCTGAGAAAAACAGTATATACTTCTACCTCTAAAATAGAAATACGAATAGAAAAATATTTATACTTTCTTATAAAAGAATGTTAATCAGTCGTCAGATTTAGGCTTTTCCAGCTTTTCGTTTCCATTTAGAACAATGGTTTTGAACGTAGTTAGTTATCTATGGGTCTGCGAATTTGCACATAGAAATTCTAAATATTTATTTTCTTTTAATTCAATGTTCTGAACTTACCACTTCTACAGAGAAATTAGAAGCTTTTAAGCACTGCTAGAAGTACTTTGTTAAGAAGGAGTTGAATTTCTAAATTCTATAACAATATCTTTTTTAAGAAATGAATTCAGCAAACACGCAGAAATATTACAAAACTCTAACAATTATTCTTATCCCAATAATGTTAAAATTGAACGTGTATCCACAACCCTTCCTATCTAATATAATTTCTACTAAATATGCACACCTAGCTAACGATAAACTCGTAGATTTTAGAACCAAAGTTTTGCTAGAATTAAAACTAAAAATCTTTCAAAGGATTCTAGTATTCCTTGTAAGCTTATCGTCTCATAGAGCGATCTATGCAAATTTTCATTCTATTTGATCCGTTATATTCGAGCAAGTCAGGATTTTCAACATTTAAAAAGAACATTAAGTTCACAAAAAATTGAAAAAGGGGTCCATAAAAAAAAAGATTAACTCTAGAACGGTCTTCGGGTCTTCTTTGACCCAACGCATTCATATTTCTTTAACTGTTTCCACAAACCATGCGTCGAAATTATTATAAATACGTTCATATCTGTTCTCTGTACATGATATTAAAAGCCTTGATCAAATGGTATATTAGTAATAAAAATAGTTACATATAAGGTCCTTGGGTCTTTTCTGACCCTAAGTGCAAAAGATATAATCAAACGATAGTAACTAATAATCAGAGTGAAATACTTCGTAACCATGCTCGACGGTAAACGCGAATAAAGAGGTGAATTATACAAAATAAATTAGATTGTTTTATTGTTGCCATAAATCTGAATTACAGTTCAACTCCGAAATTCTGCTACGATGCACAAATTTGTTTTGCCGTAGCAACTTGGCAATGTAATGTAATACTTTCCGAAGAAAGATGGTTGTATCTTTTCGGGTAAATGCCGTTTAAGTGGTGAAACTGATAAACAAAAGTTCACTAAAATGTGAAAAATGCACAAACTTTAAATTATGTGAAAGATAATAAAATTTCAACTAATTAAGATAAGTTTGAGATATGAACAATTGTTAACGGGCATCCCAAAAAACCTCTAACCGGAATTTATGAAATGTAGAACTTGTATAGAAAATAAGATGCATAATTTACCATTTAACAATAACAGATCTAGAGCAAAAGATATTTTAGAAATTGTTCACACTGATGTGTGTGGCAGTTTTAAAACAGCGGGCCTAAATGGAGAGAGGTATTTTGTCTCTTTCATTTATAACTATAGCAAAATAGCCAAAATTTATTGTATAAAGTCTAAAGATGAAGTTTTTGATTGTTTAGTTCAATTTGTAAAGGTAAGCGAAAATTTAACTGGAAAAAGAGTAAAAATCTTGCGATGTGATAACGGAAAGGAGTACTTAAATAATCGTTTCTATGAATTTGCCAAAGAGAACGGTGTAATAATAAACAATTGTCCAGCGTATGTACACGAGCTAAATGGCACAGCAGAACGGTTTAACAGAACAATAATGGATATGGCGCGTTGTTTACTAGCAGAAGCGCAAGTACAAAAGCGTTTTTGGCCTGAGATAGTATGTGCGGCGACATATTTGAAAAACCGTACACTAGCAAATACGTTAGAAAGAAAAACACCTTACGAAATATTTTTCAGAAGAAAACCAAATGTTGGACATTTACGTTTATACGGTAGTAGTGTTTTTATAAGAAAACCAGAGCAAAAAAGATTTTCTAAATGGGACAAAAAGGCAGATATGGGTATTTTACTAGGATACAGCGATGTAGGCTATAGGGTACTTGTAAATAACAAAATAGTAGTTGCGAGACATGTAGATATAGTAGAAAAAGACGTAAAATGTATTAACCTTGATAAAATTGATTATGGAAATGGAAGCGATGTTAGTACAGATGATGATTCATCTGATAAGGTTTTTGAAAGTGCAGATGAAGTGGAATTAAAACAAAATAAAGTAAAGGCAAAAGACGTTGTAAAAGAAAAGCTTAACATTCCACGCAGATCTACACGTGATAAAAAGAGTCCTACTAGATATCCAGAAAATGAAAGTTATATTTGCGTAAGGTACTGTAGAGTAGATACACCTTGTACATTTGAGGAGGCAATAAGCAGCAAAAATAGTAAAAATTGGGGAGAAGCAATGAATAAAGAAATAGAATGCATAAGTAAAAATACAACATGGAAATTAGTTGATAGAGTAGAAGGGAAAAAGGTCTTGGACGTAAAGTGGGTCTATACAAGAAAGACAAACGATAG